CAATAATTTTTCGGGTCCATACTCGTTCGGAATTTTCCTAAAAAAGTGAACATATTTTTAGTTTATTTATAAGGAGTTTAAATTGCAAAATTGTGCCGTTCTTACTTTTTTATAATACTTAAATTTATTTGCTTCTGTATTTAGGGTATTCCCAGCGTCATCATTATCATCACCACCACCGTTCTGTGAAGTCTGTACGATATAGGGTAATTAAGCGCGAAATTATAATAAAAATGTATTGTTATTAACATACCTCCAGATTATCCTGTGTACTATTATAACCTTGTTCAGAATCCTGCAAGGAATAATTAGTGTTAATTCAATACGACTTTGACTTAAATATAAAATAAACAAAATTAGGTTTAATAATGAAGTGTTTATGTTTTTATTCAATTTCCTTTGAGGATACTATGCTGATGATAGTATTTTTATGCCCTGCTCCTGTCAAAAGACAGACCTTATGGCTTTGATTTTTTGCACGTTGAAAATCGAATATAGGAGTGCATCTTTTGATTGCCACCTGAATTTTATATTTTAATATTGGTAATGAATAGAAATAGATCCTTATAGGGCAAAAACTCTATTAACCGATTTTCACAATCCTCCCTAGATACCAATTTTTTTACCATTAAAGAAATGCAAAAAAAATATGATAATCGCTTGGTGCCAAGTACAGACTGTATGGCGGATGCATTAAAACTTTCTAACCAAGTTCCCGAAGTTTCTGGCAAGTCACTGTAGATGTGGCCTGTTGGAACACGACAACACTCCTGTTGGCCACTTCTGGCCGCCTCTGGTCAATTGTAAATGGTTTAAAACAGTTTTATGGTCGATTTTTAGCTACTGGGCAATGTTACGACTGCTAACATGCCGATCATTTCTCCGATATTATCGAAGACCGGCACATAATTGGCTGTTACTGTATCGGAACCATAAACACCATTCAAAATTTTAGCCGCTTGGCCTGCATTTTCACCTTTGTCAAAGAAAAAATGTAAAATGAACCGGATTTATTTTTCCTCAACCTAATATTATGGCTTATTATGGTTCTACCAAAGTGGCTGTAATTTGGCATTTCGAAGGTATTTCCGCATAAATGCCCAGGATGTGGTATAATTCCCGTAAAATTTTTTGATGGTACTCCAACTCAAAATCTAAATAGATATCGTTATATGCTCACTTGATTTACCTAGAATATTAGATTAAATATTAAAATTTCTTACATTTTAATGGATTTATCCTACCTCTATGTTATTTTTCCTTGTGCTGTTTTTAAGAAAACTTAAATGATCATAACACCATAACTTTGGAACATAAGCATCAGTAATATATCCTTTTTCCTTGGCGCCATTTATAAAACGTTCCTCTTGCGAAAATTGTATTCTTAAATTTCTCCACCTCCGACGAATTTCATCTTTAGTTAGTTTCGGATCTAATGACTGCAATTTTATTAGAACTTTCCGCCATGCCTGTTCCTTGATCTTCCTATTCAAATATCCGAAAGCATTTACATTATAGAGGCAAGGATGTTGTTGGACACAGCTAATAAGTTCTTCCGACGTTTCGTGTTTCCATTTGTGTGGCATATTTAATGATTTCCTTTATTTTCTTATTTGTGTTTAAAATACTTTTTTTGTTCTCAATATTCAAATGTTTGTTTCAACCGTCGTTTCCTTTTATTTCATAAAAGCAAATCGCACAAATTTCTTTCAGAAATTATTTTTTCACTTTTCCTCAAAACTTTCATGTGTGTTATCTACATGAAATTCAGAAAGTTATTTGTTTCAGCTGACTTTTACGAATTACCACAACAAAAGGGAATTGCAATGAAAATGATGAATGTCTTCGCTCTCATTTACTGTAAATGTAAACATACTCAGGCCGAAAGAAATTTATCTGAACACTTTTGAATAAATAATTTAATACGCCTTCAATATTTTGTGGCTTGAAACTATTATTTATTTTCTACTTTGAGAAACTAATTTCCCATGAAAACCTTGTGTGTGCACTACATGAATTGACTACACATTGCCAACTTGCATGCTATGCACAAACAATTGACAACCTACCTGTTATGCAAAGAGAATTGATAACACTCATTTTCAATTATGTCAAGACTTGATACTCTGAACCCCAGTTATTATTAATTTTGCTCTTGATGAAATCGGTTCGAATTTGTAATTGCTTGCGGGAAACAACAAGAAAAAATATATAGATTGAGATTTTAAGTGAAGAAATATAATAATTAAACGCTTTAAAAAAGTGTAAGTGTAAAGCAAATCTATAAAAAAAAAATCAGAAAAAAACTTGTTAAAGAACAAACAGTTAACAAATTGGTGGCCAAACAAGTGAAATTCATGACCAAAAAATATTTAATTAAAAACGAAGAAAAAACCACGCCACACCCTCTTGAGAAAAATCCAAAAAAATATAAAATAAAACAATTTTCTAAAATAGTTAATGAAAATTTTCAATAAAAATTGTTTAAACATGCATAATAGAACACAATTATGAATATAAAAATTCCAAAAATTTTATGTATTTATTGAAAAAATCCAGAAGAAAGTTTTTTTTTCATGGCAAATGTATTTGTGTGTGTGCGTGCGTGAGAGAGAATTGTGTGAAGACGACGTCATCCCGTGGAAGATGTTCTCATTTTGTGGAATATAAAAACAACAACTTCATTATGTTTATAACTCTCCCATCTCTCTCTTTCTGCGTATTTTTTCAACATTATAATTATCTTTAGTGTTTTCTAATGCAATTGTTGTTGGTGTGTATGTTTTTAACCTATACTGTATCTAGTATGCATTTCCTCTACAATGTATCTGACATTTCACTTTCTCGTTTGTTGTATTTTGCTGCAAGAATTTTTGTTTACTAATGTAGGTTATTTTTAGATTACACACATTTCATCTTCTACTTAATGGGAGAGGAGAAGCAGATGCTATACATTGCCAAGAGGCAATAAACAACCGGTGCCCCAGCATCCATACCTCCCTCACATGTGTCTTTTTTTCGTATTTTCCTAGAGAATATCATAATTCTCAACAACAATACTATCAATTCTTGTTCATTACCTCTTTCGTTGAATTTATTCTATCTTGTGTTATTGTGTGTGTGTGTGTTTGTCTTTTCTCCATGTTTAGAGCATTACGTCATTTTTTGTATTTTTTGATAGGTTTGTTTTTTGCTGCTGTTTTTTTGTACATATTAAAAAAGGGTGGAAACAATAGCACACGTACATATTACACACAACACAACCTGAGACAGATTTGTTTAGCTTGTTATGTATTTTTGTGTGTCATGTTTTACATGTTTCTTCTTTGGCTTTAAAAGGTTTGGTCAATTGGTTTAATTAAGTAGTCTCGACATGAATTTCCTTTTTGTTTTATTTTGCTTCGTCTACATTTGTACTCATACATTTTGCTGTGGCCACTACTGATGATTCAGTAAAAGTCAAATTAGTCTATTTCTCCCTCCAATTGACATTATGGAGCTACCTAATTAAGCAAATCATAGGAAATGTTATGAAGCTCGCTCTTTTATTCTCTCTCTTTAAGGTAGATGTCTAATGTATCTCTTTAATGAACTAACGTTGTTATTGTAATCAATTAAACGCACCTATCAATTAAAATGTCAGGTGTTGCTCTTTAGTTCTGTTAATCTCTTGTTCTCTTCTTCTTGTTTGCCGCTATCATTTTTTTCATTTTAGTTTTTGACACTTAAGAAGTACTTGTATTGTATAGTTCTTTGCTGCAAGTGGAAATTAATTGATTTTTACATATATTTTCATGATAAAATTCTGTAGAAAAATTTTTAATTATTGGAAAGGATGTTGAGTAGTTTGATTTTTGCTGTATATAATATTTATATGGTCACGAAAAGAAAATGAAAATAAAAATCAATAATTTTTCTGTCATTAGGACAACTACAGAATGAAGAAATTCGAGATTACTAAATGGATAATGAGTAAAAGAAAGATGTTTAAACAATATTGGAATTTGTCCATATATCTATATATTGCAGGTCATGACCTAAAACATATAAAGATAATGGTAACAAATCTGTACCTTAAAGAATGTCACATTTGTATTCTTGTGAAGGTTATCAAAACAGTCGTGCAAGAATTGTGAAATATAGAAGAGAAAATAGGAAAAGCTATGCCTAAAGTATTGTGTAAGAGCAGGTCTAGCTTCATTTAGAAATGTTTACCCAATTGGGCTTTGGGTCGGTTGGATGGTATTTAACATGGCTATCCATTGCAATGTTTCGATCGATAATAGGAAGAAAGATCCTTTTTTAGCACCTCTTAGTACTTGTTGAAAGTCACATTCAATATTAATATGAATGATTATGTTGTAGGTACCATCTTTAGCGAGGTTAAACCCACACTTGGTGTTCTATTGCTGCAACAGATTTGAGATGGTTCCCCACTAACCTATTGTTCGAATGTCTAGGCGACTGATTTGGTGATTCAAAACAATTTGATAGGGCCTTTTATAACTTTGGAACTCTCACTGTGAACCATGCAACGTTTTCCTGCCATAGCTTGCCTTGCAAATTATCCTTATCCTCATGTATTATTTGTTACAAATCTTCTTCTTCTTTTATTTACCTCTTAAATTTTTTAAATTATATTGTAGTTATGTCACTTAATTAAAGTATCATTCTTTCTAATAATTAAATAATTTATGTAGTTAATATGCCTAATTAAATTATCACAATTGTGGTGATGATGATTATGATGTCATTGTGATGGTGATGTGATTTGGAAAGAACTCTCAAAATAACGACAACGAAAAAAAATGAATGACCATTTCAAATTTTTTCTTTCTTTCTTTTTTTGCCAACCAACCATATTCTCTTTTATTCATCTTCCGTTTCAGATACAATTTCGAAAAAACGGTAGTTGGAAAAAAAGAGAAATAATTTAGATGATATTGAATTCAATTTCAAATATGTCTAATTAAAAATAAAGAAGCATACATAAATCCAATATGTCGTCCTCCTCAAAACCAGAAGAACAATTACAACACATTGTTGACTATGAAGGTGAAAAGGAAAAATTCCCTCAATGGTTTATGAGACAATTTCAAGAAATCCCTCCCAATGGTTGTAGCTTAGAGGATTTCACAGTATATTTTCTGAATTCTCTGCGTCAACATACGGAACAACATTTAAAAGTCAACAGCACTGCTGCTGGTGGAGGTTCTGATACACCAAAATGTCAAACCCCTATTAAAACACCAAAACCTGCTACAAATCAAACCCACGATGATTCTTTGGCAGTCAGATTTTTAACAAGCCACAATGCGGCTGCCTCAACACCAAATCAAAGCACACGAAATGAAATATCGCAGACATCGTTTGGTGATTGGACTAATAATCATCATTCGGTTCCACGTCTAAGTACCTCTGTGGATCGCTCGAATATCTCACACAAGAATCTGACATCAACACCAGTAAAACGTAATACCTCGGGAGGTAATTCCAGACGTTTGTCCACTACACCAGGATCAACAAATAAAAGTGCCTCAACAAGTTTATGTTTGGGCGATTTTCTGGTTGTCAGCACGCCCACAAGTCACAATCGTTCTAATAAAAAGAAAAATACCTCAGGAACAAATGTAACACAACACAGTGTTGGTGGAGGGGGTGGTACTGCTTCGGCTGCAGACAAACCCAAGAAACGTGTACAACCCATAAGCATTAGCAAGAAAGTGGACAAATCTTCGGCCAACAACTCAGTATTTGCTGGTGAAAGCTCCTTCAGCAATGAAAATAATATTTTGAAAATTTCCCACACTGAAGTGGAGGATAAGGATCAGTGTGCTATTATGGCTGCACGTAAAACACTTAAATCAAATGCCAGCGAAATAACCAAGGAATTGGCGCCACAATTAGTTACGACAAATCTGCCCTTGACATCCTCAACATCACTTGTGTTGGCAGCAAGTACTCCCACAAAAACTAAAAATCCTTTGACCATCATTGATGATGATATGCCGCCTTTAGATTTTGAAGATATGGTGGGAAATAAATTACTACATAGATTGGCTGATATTTATGTTATCCTAATTACCAATCACTTGACAACCAACTTTTTAAATGATTTGTCATTCCTATTGAATTTGCTCAACGCTGCTCCTGCTGCATGCATTTCATCGAATACTGTAGCGGATGCTTTTAAAAAGCTTGAGTTGCAAGATATTGACGATGCAGCAAGAACATCCAAAATTCTTCGGTGCCTGGAAAATCTAAAATATGCCATATATTTTGCCTTACAATGTCTGTGCCAATTGAAGGAACGTTTGGCCAATCTCGATAGCAAAACCCTAAAAGTTGTTCTTACCAATGAACGTTTTTCCTATTTTCCCGAAGATATGCGTAACTATCTGCTTGACATTTATCAAAAGAAACAACAAATCATTGCCGACAATCCCATGCATGATGCCTCATTTTGCTTGGACTCAAAAACGACAACGGGACAAAATAATGTCTATTTCCAGCAAGAACAAGATACACGTCACAACTTTAGTTCCCATCAGGAATTTGCCAATTTTCGCCCCCAGCGAGATTTGTTCTGCAAATGCCTGAAGTTGTGGGAGGCTAATCATTTAAATCCTAATTGGAAATTTGCCATTGAAATAAAACCCATTATTCGGGAAATTTTCCAACAGTCGGAGAATTGTGTGAATATGGCCCACTTTGCAAAATTGTTTGTTTCTCAGTTGCTACTGTCGGCTTCAAGTGCGGCAACGCCGGAGGAGATTGGACTGGAAGTGGACCTTCAGAAATTCTCGAAGTTGACACAACGTCTCATAGCACCTAGTCAATTCAGTGTGGACTATCAATTTCCCCGGGCCCAGGCATTCTTTCGTGATTTCATTTTAAATGCCCGTTCGTTGCCATTTGCCGAGCAATTGAAAATGGAACTGTACAGTGAGCTGTTGTCGCTGAATGATTCCACATTCGATCATGTCAATATTAACAAGACTGAGGCCGATAATAATGATAATTCCTTGATAGCAGACATGGCCCAACATGAACAGGTGGCCGTAAGGCCAGAGATATTAAATGCCATGTTGATTTTGGCCAAGTTCCTTGGTTTCACCATCAGTTTGCCTTATTCCAATTGTGGTATAATACCACCGTCCATGGAAAAGAAACAGATACGTTTAAGATCTCTATTACAGCCTAGCTTTGATCTGCACAATGTCCTTAAAGATGGCGTAGAAAAGGGAAAACTATTAATTACCATACCATGGATGGTCCAATATTTATGTATGCTTGATAATATCACCCTACAACTGGAGGTCCACATACGGGCTTTAAAATTAATGTTTGCTTTATATTGGTATTTGGGTGACCCTGCTGCAGCTGACAGTAGCATTTTAAATCGTACATCCTGCTTTATAATTGCCTCTTGCCTGGGTTGGTTATTTGATTCCCAGCAATACTTAATTGAACAGTACTATCAATTTCGTTCAGATCCCATTGAAAATCGAGAGTTTTTGGAGTACCTAAAAAGTAAATTGCAAAATAACCAAGAAGACTGTCAAGAGATTTGCTCTTCTAGTCAGCAGGATACAGCGGACGGAGGCTTAAATCATCTTTTGGAATCCCTATTGCCAGTTGCCTGCCCATTTTTGGGTGAATTCCGTGTATCAATTATGCCGGCCAAATATGCCCAAACAAAATATGCCTCAAGAACTGGACGGTATCGTCATATTACAACACGTCTGGCTGAATTATCACCAGCAGCAGTAACTGCCAAAGATGATGACAAACCAACTGCGGGTGGTTCACTCCTGGACACTTCGAGGACAACACAAAAAAATCTCATGCAAGCTTTTATACAATCCCAGAACTCATCGACACGCCAAATGTTGGGTTTTTGTGGTGAACGTGCCTACAAGTGTGTCGTCAAAGATGGCCAATTGAAAATACTACTGCCAGCTAAAAGCAAAGCAGATCAAGAAGTAAATGAAATCAATTCGTGTGACTATAACACGGTATTCAATAAAATCAAACACATTTACAGTTCGGCCCGTCATACAGCCATAGGCAAATGGAATGAAGACATTCCAAAAATGCTGGATAAACGCATCAAAAACTCTTTGGAGAGTCTACTGCCCGAAGAGACACCCGACATTTTGAAGAAAACCTATTTTATGATTATCAAGAAGGATGCCGAAAAAAGGATATCCCAGTGGTTCTACGGCAACATTTTACGGGATAATTATTTTTGTGTTGAATTGCCAACAATGGCCAATAAATTGTGTTCGGCCAATAAGACAAAACAACCCTCAGAATTGAAAATTTTGAATGAAGTACCTAGTGTTTCGGAACTAATAGATAACTTACAATATTGGCTGCACTGTACCTCATTGAGGGTGGAACTATTTAAAGATTCCAAACCCATTGTCGATCTCATGCATAATATTAGACAATCGTTCGATAATGTCCTGCCCACAATTCTATATCGCCTCATGGCCACGAATATTATCCAACTTTTACAACACATTATCACGGCGAATTGTAAACATTTAAGTGACGAATTGATTGATGCTTCTTGTAAAATTTTTCTACATCCAAATATGCGTAAAGCATTAGAGATGTCAGCAAAGCATACAACGGAAGAACAATCATCACAACGTCCGCTTGGCATCTACGATGGATTAGTTACAATTGCATTTCTTCAGTCACTGGCCTTGCGCACCGAATGCTATACAGCATTTGGTAATTTAATTATCAGCATGATTAAGCAACAAATAATCACAATGAGTTATACAAATAGCCTATTTGTGAATATCTTCAAATATGATTGGCATCCCCAGCAATTGAATGAAATATCGAATATGTTAAGAACTATTGCAAAGAACACCACAGATGTACCGACGAACACCAGCTGCAGTAGAGATTCGGACAATGATGATGACAACGGCGAGGAGGAGGAGGATGATGAAAAATCAAATCTTTTTATGGATATGTTGGCCGATTTATCGAGAGATATTGATCTATATTAAATGTGTGTGTTTTTTATTATTTTACTTACTTAGTGATAAGTTTATAAAATTCTTTTTTTAATATTTTTGTTTCATTCTCTAAAATAAAGCGTTTTTATATTGTAAACAAAATATCAATAATTGTGTGTTGAAAATATATTTGTGATGATGGAATGAATATTTTGTTGGTTTGGTTGGTTGGCAAAAAAGAAAAATAATATCGAAATGTAAATAATTCGAAATAAGTGCAAAAAATTAATTGTTTATAAAAAATATGTATATAGTTTTAATTAATTAATTAATCGGTTATCAATGACAAATTTTTGCAGAATGAGTAAATAGAGATGCAACTGCTACGGATTGCATTTACTGCACCTCTTGGGGGACTTTAGCCCAAAATATTGGGGCTTGACTGCAAATACTCTCACAAATACTAAAAATAATGACAGGACAAAATATTTATTTTCAGCAAGAACAAATTTGACGCCTCAGGAATTTGCAGATTTTTACGTATAATTCAAAGGAAATATTTATTTTCTTTTATTTCCTTTGGGAAAACTACCTACAAGGTAGAGAAATCACGGTCGTGAAGCTCTCGAATATCATCAGAGACATGAGGGTGAAATTTATGCATGGGAAAATAGTTTCCCTTTGACCACAGAATCGAAATAAAAATTTTTGGAACGTGGACATTATGCCGCAGCTGAAATCTAAGAGAAATTGACCACTTTGGAGAATGACAAGAGTTGTTTGCAAATGGTCTATCGTGAGACTGAACAGGCTGAAACATAAAACAAGAGACTGTCCTCTAAAGGGAATAAAAGACATACTTAAATTGACTTCAAAATGATTCTAGTTCACAAATAGCTATGGATCCACACACGTATTTAATTTTCATAAGGTGTTAGTTACCCTGATCTTAGAGAATTCAAAACAATCAATAGTTTGGGAAAACTACCTACAAGGTAGAGAAATCACGGTCGTGAAGCTCTCGAATATCATCAGAGACATGAGGGTGAAATTTATGCATGGGAAAATAGTTTCCCTTTGACCACAGAATCGAAATAAAAATTTTTGGAACGTGGACATTATGCCGCAGCTGAAATCTAAGAGAAATTGACCACTTTGGAGAATGACAAGAGTTGTTTGCAAATGGTCTATCGTGAGACTGAACAGGCTGAAACATAAAACAAGAGACTGTCCTCTAAAGGGAATAAAGGACATACTTAAATTGACTTCAAAATGATTCTAGTTCACAAATAGCTATGGATCCACACACGTATTTAATTTTCATAAGGTGTTAGTTACCCTGATCTTAGAGAATTCAAAACAATCAATTTCGATTGATTTGCCACCATCACCAAGTTTAAAATGAGGATACATTCTAATTTAAATTATTTTTAAACATGATATGGACTAAGTAAAATATTTGAAGGTTATATATTTTTCCATTTATTATTTAGGGTTTTAGTAAATATCTATAACATTTTTTGCTGTTGTTCTTCTTAGTTTTTGTTGCTACACACTGCCAATTGATAAGGTTTCAAAGTAAATTCTTTGTTGTTGTTTCATTTTTTGATAACTGATAACAAAAAATTGGTTTGCTGTGCGTCATATCTACAGTTCAAGAATAACACTTTTTTTTAAATTTATCGCCAAGTTTAACTATGACAGCATACTCACACATTCGGAAAGTCTATTAAATAAAAAACGATTTTGAAATTCATAACAGTCACGCTAAAAATTTTCTATTAGCTTTGCCGGAGCGGCTGACTGTTCATTCGGATATAGGGTGCGGTAATGGTAAGAACTTCGCTTGTTTGTTTTTTCAATTTCCCCAATAAAAGTTTAGGCGAAAAAAAATGGTGCCATCATATTTAATGTTTATAAACAATTATAATAAAGCCATTAATAGGGTTGGTTTGTTTCGTTCGTTCCCATGGTGGAGCTCTTATTTTCCATATGCTCTTTTTTCGTGTCTTGTGTGTGTTTTACTCTCTCCGAATCGCTAGATATGTGTGTTGTTACTGGGGTTTGAGGTCGTATGGCACTTGAACAACATTATTTTTTTTAATACGAAAAACACTGGTGGGAAGTGTGTGAGGTATATTGCTCACTTGTTTCCCCATACTCAAACATTTTGTTTTTTTTTTCTACTTCAACTGAATGAACTCATCATCATCTGAATTCTCTGGATATTTGTTTTATGGATTTGTTTGCTGTGTGTTGTGTTCATAGCCAGCGCAAAGAAGTGAGAGTGTGTGTGTTGTGTGGAAATTATGTAATCGCTGGCTTAAGAGCAATGGAATTTTATGTCATTTCTCTCTGGGCGGTTGAGACATACGTTCACTGCTCGCTTGATGGTAACAATTTACTGTTTATCACACTAATTGGATTTCATTGCCATTGTAATTTTGAATTCAAAATTAATTTTCACTATTCTATGTTCATTTCATTCTAGGTATGCTATAAAACCGAATTCGATTCGATATAATATCGAAAAACAAACAAGGGAAAATATCAGTATTTAAACGAGAGCAAATTTTGGTGAGTATTTTACATTTTTTTACATTTTTGTATTTGCAAGTCTAACCCCTCCCCTCCCGCTGTTTCTTCTTTCTTTCAGAACGACCCAACTTTTTGTATTAAATTTTCGTAACTAAAAACAACTCAACTTCGAACGACCATGGAGAATTTCACTCCCAAGGAGGTAAAAATCCTCGAAACCGTCGAGGACATTCAAGAGCGACGTGAACAGGTCCTTTCGCGTTACAATGAGTTTAAAATCGAAACACGTCAAAAACGTGAAAAACTCGAAGACTCACGTCGTTTCCAATACTTTAAACGTGATGCCGATGAATTGGAATCATGGATTAATGAAAAACTACAGGCAGCTAGCGAGGAGAGTTATCGTGATCCCACTAATCTCCAGGCTAAAATTCAAAAACATCAAGCCTTTGAGGCTGAGGTATCGGCCCACAGCAATGCCATTGTCTCTTTGGACAATACCGGCCAGGAAATGATCAATCAAAATCATTTCGCCTCGGAAACTATTCGCCATCGTCTCGATGAATTGCATCGTTTGTGGGAATTGCTGTTGAGTCGTTTGGCCGAAAAGGGTCAAAAACTACAACAGGCTTTAGTCTTGGTGCAATTCTTGCGCCAATGCGAGGAAGTAATGTTCTGGATCAAGGACAAGGAAGCATTTGTAACAGCCGATGAATTCGGTCAAGATTTGGAACATGTTGAGGTATTGCAACGCAAATTCGATGAATTCCAAAAGGACATGGCCTCGCAAGAGTATCGTGTAACCGAAGTGAATCAATTGGCCGATAAATTGATTCAGGATGCCCATCCTGATCGTGATACCATCACCAAACGCAAGGATGATTTAAATGAGGCTTGGCAGCGTCTTAAACAGCTGGCCATCGTACGCCAAGAGAAGCTATTCGGAGCCCATGAAATTCAACGTTTCAACCGTGATGCCGACGAGACTGTTGCCTGGATTGCCGAGAAGGATGTTGTCCTCTCGTCTGATGACTATGGCCGCGACTTGGCCAGTGTCCAGGCCTTGCAACGTAAACACGAAGGTGTTGAACGTGATTTGGCAGCTTTAGAAGATAAGGTCTCAACCTTGGGTGCCGAAGCCCAACGTTTGTGCTCCATCCACGCTGATCACTCCGATCAGATTCGCGACAAACAAGCCGAAATTGCCAATTACTGGCAAAGCCTGAAGGCAAAGGCAGGAGAACGCAAACAAAAACTAGACGAATCCTATTTCTTGCATCGTTTCTTGGCCGATTTCCGTGATGTGGTCTCCTGGATTAATGGCATGAAGGCCATTATCTCGGCCGATGAATTGGCCAAGGACGTGGCTGGTGCTGAAGCTCTTTTGGAACGTCATCAGGAGCATAAGGGTGAAATTGATGCACGTGAAGATAGTTTCCGTTTGACCACCGAATCGGGACAAAAACTTTTGGAACGTGAACATTATGCCGCTGCTGAAATCCAAGAGAAATTGGCCACTTTGGAGAATGACAAGAGTTCTTTGCTTTCGCTGTGGGAGGAGAGACGTATCCTCTATGAGCAATGCATGGATTTGCAATTGTTCTATCGTGACACTGAACAGGCTGACACATGGATGGCCAAACAGGAGGCTTTCTTGGCCAACGAGGATTTGGGTGATTCATTGGATTCCGTTGAAGCTCTAATCAAGAAACACGAAGACTTCGAAAAGAGCTTGGCTGCCCAAGAGGAGAAAATCAAGGCCCTTGATATTTTCGCCACCAAGCTGATTGATGGCCAGCATTATGCTGCCGATGATGTGGCCCAACGTCGTCAAATGTTGTTGGCCCGCCGTTTCGCTCTTTTGGAAAAATCGAACAAACGTCGCCAACTGTTGGAAGATTCTAACCGTTATCAACAATTCGAACGTGACTGCGATGAAACCAAGGGTTGGATTAGTGAGAAATTGAAGTTTGCCACCGATGACAGCTACTTGGATCCCACTAATTTGAATGGCAAAATGCAGAAGCACCAAAACTTTGAACATGAACTCAATGCCAATAAGTCCCGCATTGAGGATATCACCACTGTGGGCACAGAGCTCATTGAAAAAGAACACTACGCCGCCGATCAAATCAACACTCGTATGCAAGAAATCGTAGTACTGTGGGAAACTTTGGTCCAAGCCTCCGATAAGAAAGGCTGCAAGTTACACGAAGCTTGTCAACAACAACAATTCAATCGTACCATTGAAGACATTGAGCTCTGGTTGAGTGAAATTGAAGGTCAGCTGTTGTCGGAAGATCATGGCAAGGATTTGACATCGGTGCAGAATTTGCAAAAGAAACATGCCCTTTTGGAAGCCGACGTTATGGCACACCAGGATCGTATTGAAAGCATTAAGGTAGCTGCCAATAAATTCATTGAATCTGGCCATTTCGATGCTGACAATATCCGCCAAAAGGAGAACAACTTGTCCACCCGTTATGCTGCCTTGGCCGCACCAATGGCTGAGCGTAAGCAACA